CAAAATTAGTCTTTAATTTTTTACAACATCAATCATTTACAAGTTCCCAGCTCTCTGCAAGCATTAATCCACTAAGTCTTGGGATATCTGTGTTTCTCATTTAGTCAAGTAAAGCAAGGCTCAGACAGGCTACATGACCGACAGAGCTTAAAACAGAGCAGAGAGGTCTTGAATTCCAGTCCTCTCCTTACTAAAGCCAGACCACACTCTTACACCACCACATCCCTTTCCCTAGAGCTCCGAATTTTGTTCATCCTCTGCTCTGTAATCTCAGGGCAAAAACTAACTTGCCATGTGTACTACTTCCAGACAGACCTCAACCTTTTACTGACTGATGTAAAGAACAGCTGTAACAACACCTTTAGGCTTACTGGCAGAGATGCTCTCTATTAATAAAATTCTCCAGCAGCTTTCTGGCAATTTCTTTTTTTCTTTTAAAAGACATTTCCCTASCTTTCCAGTAGTTAGAAACAGCACTGCCCACAAGAAGTGCTACACATCGTTCAGATGCTAAACATCATTCAGAAGCAGCACCGTCCAGGGCCACCTGCAACTCAGAGGTCCACAGGGATGCTCCCCACATGCGCGGCGCCTTCCTTGCCTTCTCTCCACCTCTGCCTTGGACCTTCCGCCTTGCACCTCATAAACAGCACGGCCTTTCYACCTGTTAGGACCTGCCTTGGACCTGTTAGCTTGGAAGAGGGCATCAGGGCTGGGAAAAGAAGCCAGGTAGTRGTTTCTTCCTCATACCGCTCCAAAATAGAGTCAAGCATAGATGACAAGCTAAGATATGGAAAATATTTCAATATAATACTGCATTTTTCTCCACTAAAAGGCAGATAGCAATAGACAGAATAATCTTAATGGCTAATCTAAAYAGTTCAGCTTTGATCATGTTGCTAGTTCTTTAGATATAAAGATGATAATCTTTAACACAAATGTTTTGGGTTTCGTTTTTTTAAGTCTCAAGCTAAAAATGCTCATTTTCCCAATGCATTCAAAGTTTATGTAGTATAACTAAACATCATGAAGTTTCTGTACTCGAAATGGCAATACGATCCCAAAGCATTCAAATCAGTAGAGCACCAGGTTCTGTTGTGCTACAACCACAAATCATTTCATCTTGGGTCTTTTTTGGTCTTATAGCAAGGTTTATTCTTACAGCAAGGTTTATACCTGTACAAAGCCTATTTATAATGCAGGGTTAGAGGGGAAGTGACTGGCTATTCAGCCTCTGAAATCTGTTTAATGCAAAAATATAGGTTTAGCTCAATTCAAGTTCAATACTCTGAACACTCAAAGTCATGTATTCATTTTTGGAAAATGAGCACCTTTCAACATACTTTTTATTTTTCTCTCCTAGATTTTAAACCCGTTTGTGTTGCATAGAATCATAGAATGCTTAAGGTTGGAAGGGACCTCAGAGGTCATCTAGTCCAACCCCCCTGCTCACACAGGRTCACCTAAAGCACGTGGCACAGGGCTGCATCCAAGCGGGTTTTAAAGATCTCCAGAGAAGGAGACTCCACAACCTCTCTGGGCAGCCTGTTCCAGGGCTCTGTCACTCTCAATGTCAAGAAATGCTTCCTTAAGTTCCTGTGAAACTTCCAATGCTTCATTTTGTGGCCGTTTCCTCTAGTCCTATCACTGGCCACCACTGAAAAGAGGCCGCCCCCTCCTCCTCACTGCCTCCCTTGAGGTATTTATAGACACTGATCAGGTCCCCCCTCAGCCTTCTCTTCTCCAGGCTGAACAGGCCCAGCTCCCTCAGCCTTTGCTCATAGGGCAGATGTTCCAGGCCTCTGATCATTCTGGTAGACCTGCGCTGGACTCTCTCCARCAGCTCCACGTCCCTATTGCAATGGGGAGCCCAGAACTGGACACAGTCTCCAGATGTGGCCTCACCAGGGCTGTGTACAGGGGGACGATCACCTCTCTYRACCTGCTGGAGACGCTCTTCTTAAWGCACCCCAGGATCCCGTTGGCCTTCTTGGCCACCAGGGCACACTGCTGCCTCATGGTCATCTTGTCATCCACTGCATAGAGCAGTTAAGTCAAAACAAGCACAGAAGATTTGCATAAGACCTTCAAGCTCATGTTTGGAGCTTACATAACCAACCTAGTCATAGTCCTTGCAGCAACGAAGACATAATGTCCACCAACATAAAAAAATCAACATAATCAATMAGATATGCTTCCCCATGTTTATATATATTGCTGAAAGTATAAGGAAAATACAGAAAATTGTTACAGTGCTACAGAAATCACTATCCATAAACTCCACAATAATTTGTTTTAAGGTCATAAGAACCAAAGAAAAAGAGTACATGGGCAACATTTCAGCATAGAATTTATCTGCCCCATCAGTGCAGCACTGATGGATTTATAATTTGCTTTTGAATTCAAAGGCCTAACGCAGATGCAGTTTGCTTAAAAACTTAGGAAGAGTATCGTGTAAGCCAGCAGACAATTTAGTGAGAATTATTACAATGGATTACCATCATTGGAGGAAAATAATTGTTATTTACTAAAAATTCTCCAATATCACTTCCTTTTTATATTTCAAATAAATGTTTATAAGTAAATATCTCAAACTCCCTGTTACACCTAAATCCAGTCTGTCATTTCAAGTTCTTCAAGCTTGCTAATAAAATGTTCAAATCTCATTTCTGAGAAAATGCTTTGGGCCCAGCATTCAATCTTACACAGCATCAATTTCAGGTCTTCAGCCTGAAGTGCACACTTGTTTATGCCATTATGCATAAACAAAAGAGAATAGATACAAAGGTGAATCCTACCAAGAAACAAMTCCGCTCCTAGAAAGTAATCTCCATTATCGTGATAATGACAGATGAACCTCCACTTACATACTCTAGAAGTGCTTGTACTCATAACAGTCACTAGATACAATTTTATTAATCAAATTCTAGCATGACACTATAATTTTTACTTTTCAAATATTAGATCCTTTACTTACAGATGGCATATATTAATATATTTGCTTGAGGTAACTTAAATAAGCACTATAGTTTTCAAAAATTTTGCTTTTAATGTTGTGTGTAAAATCAGTGTTGACATTTTAGCATTTGCATCCTATTGTAAGAAAAAAAATAAGAAATGAAGAGCGTTGTCTGAAATTAGATCTGATTTTATAACTAATGTATTTAAAAGTTTGCATTCGTTACACCACATTAAACCTCTTTTCAGCTTGAAAGCAGAAGATAAACAGCTTTTCTCTGGCAGGTTTTAGTACCTTGAAAGTATCTATGAAAAAATAATCAAATTTTTCCAGTTCATTGTGACCTCCTGTTAAGGCAGGTCATAATAGCTTATGACAGCAAAAGAAACTGTGGCTTGGCTGCAGAAATATTCAAGTAAAGATCTTGACACACAACTTTCCAGCAAAAATCCTGAGGCTGATACTTTGTCTAATTTAACATAGTGATCACAGAAAAGAGCTAAAGAAATATGAGACAATCTCATTGAGCAAATATGCAACTCTGACTGTTAATTATTCTTTGGGTTATGCTTWATTTTTTTAATTCAATTTGTTTTACAGAAAAACAGAAACTAAATAGTAAATTATGCCYTTTCACACTGACCCATACTAAGTGTTTGGAGGATGATATGAAGATGTTCAGAGGCTCGAAAACTAATCCAACCTAAAACTAACCTTCAAATCMATCAGCCCTTTTATATGTAGCAGACAGAAGCAAACTTACTACTCAGGTTAACAGACAGTTTAATTTTATAAGCTGCCTACTGCTGAACACTGACCTGCACACTTATATAMGTAATGATCTGAGAACCTTTGTATCCTTGGCTTTGAGTTTAAATAGTAGCATAAAACAGATTTTGCTCCATTTAAAGGAACAGAGGCTTTGACTGACCCTCCTTGAAGATTTAGTACCTTCTTGCTTACTTCTTTAAGGAAGGTGTGTGGTGCAACTGCTTCTTTTAGACTGCAGATTTAAACAGGACGTTAGTCTTCCTCACTTGCAAAAATGTTCTTCAAAGTCAATGCAAGCTGTATTTTCAGCTACGTGTTCTCACTGGCTAGAAACAGGCTAGAAAATCAGAGGTCAGAAAAACTGCCACGGCCTTTCCACAGGCTGAAGTACCGTTATATGCAGCAGGTTGGTTGTTACCACATTCCGCTTTAAATCACGTCCTAAATGCCCATTTCCAGTATGGATCTGCATATTCACAATTTCAGCACAGTGGAAAYGCTGCCCATGGCAGAATGGCCGCACTGCAAAGGGCACGAGGAAATGGGATCGCACAGGACTCTGTGCAACAAGACTCGGCAGGTGGGTCTGCATTCTGCAGGGTCTCCTCTGCTGATGCACAAATAGATAACAGAAATCAATAAGGTGATTAGATGCAGTCTTGCCAGCAAAATTCCTGCAGCATGGAGAGCAATATATCAGCCACAGAAACGTCAGTGTGTTTTATACTAGAGAGCAAACACACATAAGTTCAGTGTGCATTTACAGCTTTATTAGTTAGCTTTAGGGTTTATTTACACATTTTTTGTATACCCTCTCATCCCACTGGAAGCTGAGCTACAGCCTTTACTTCGTCCCATATAAGAAAGGAAATGCCCTTCACTTCACTGAGATGTGTTAGTGTCATCTAACTAATTATTAAGATCACTTTAAACTAGGTGAATGTTAACTGATTTAAAAAAGAAAAAACATTTTTACATTTCAAAAATGTGGGAACAGATGTGATATAACAGGASAGAAACACTTCCATAATGTTTTGTTCTACATTTTGTTGTATTGTCTCAAGAACTGGGTAGCCAACCTCACATTGTGATATGTTTGAGTACACGTATTTGTAAGGAAATGCAAACCACAAATTTTTATGTCAAAGGAGACACTTTCTGTGCTTTTTCCCAGGGGGAAGTCTTTTCAAAGCTCAAAAAAATCACCTCTAGGTACTTTCAGAGAAGATAMCACCTCACGATCAGCACTGCTGTCAAAAGCACCCAGTAGAGACTGGAACATCTGCGTGAGTATTTCTGTTGACTTTGTAGGTTCAATTGACCTGTACGTAGCACTAAAACATTAAACTGAAGTTGCTCTTCTCCACCCTTATGTGATGATGTTACAGCTGAACATGGACAAATAAAAGGGACAAATAGGTAAAAGTCAAACACTGCAAAATCCTAAACATCTATTGATATCAGAGAGGCAAACCTAAAGCCATAGTATATGCTAGCCTTTCTCTCTCTCTCCCTCTCTCAAAAGAGAAGAAAAAACAAAGGATAAACATCTTTGCGTACATGCATGGCCATGTGTGCATAGCACATATGCACAGAATCATGTATATTCACACATTTGTGAGCACTTGTGCACAAAGGCACTCCGTTCACTCTTTTTCTCATCAGTTTGTGAYGAATTGGCACATACAGTATTTGCTGTTCTTGAAGGTGAAGAGGCAAGTGCAGGAAAAGAAAGAAATATCTTGTCCAGTTTTGTGCATCTTGGTACTCGAGATAGGGTATCTTCTAAATGAACCATTATCTCTGTTAGAATACACAAAATCACAGAATGGTTGAGGTTGGAAGGGASCWCTRGAGATCATCCAGTCCAACCCCCTGCTCCAGCAGGGACACCCAGAGCACGGGGCACAGGGCGGCATCCAGGCGGGTTKGGAAGATCTCCAGAGAAGGAGACTCCACAGCCTCCCTGGGCAGCCCGTGCCAGGGCTCTGKYACCCTCACAGTGAAGAAGTTCTTCCTCAAGTTCACATCAGATGCTTTCACTTCTACAGTTATTTAAAATAGCTCACTTTTTGCTCAGCGCAGCACAGGAAAGAAATCCATGGATGAAGCTTCTGGGCAGTGCAGAAGTTTCAGAATAAGTTTCTGTCACCCATCTAGGTGACAACTGCGCAAAGCAAGGTCTTCAAGCTGCAAGCAGCCCCTGCAAAGACATTGCAACAGAGTCCACCTTTACCACAAAATCTAAAATCTGTAATCTAAACAGTGATTTCTTTGGCATGTGAATGTGTCCCTTGGCAAGCAGTTACAAGTAGAGCTATTACTCTTGGAGCTACTGCTTTTCTCCCCCACTCTGCCTTCTCAAAATACATTTTGAGCTCAGAGCAGGCTTTATGGCTTTCCTTGGAAAATGAAAAAGAAAATTAGATACAAGGTAACAAAGGTTAAATTGGAGCCATGTTCTTGGTCTGAATATATTCATTTTTGCACCAAATAATTACGGTTTCTAAACTAAAATCCTCCATCTTTCATGAGCTACATTAATCTTCATGTTATTACCATCAGCACGCAAGAGGGAGATGTAGGCAGGTAGATTTTCCTGTAATATCTGAAACATTGCAGAGCAAAGTCAAACACAATCCACTGGGTGTCACTCTTTTCCCTGAAAAATAACCCGCATTTTCTGAGTTTTGCTTGCCTAATAAAAGGCAACAAGAAAATTTATAAATCATACATCTGGAAACATGGTTCGAAAAGCTAAGAAATTATTATGTATTCTGGTAGTACTCTATGTACTCCTTGAGGCATTAGGAGCTACATTATTATTGCTCCATTGCAATCAAAATGATTACAAAGAGGAAGGATATTCAGTATAAAAGAAGTAACAACAACAACAAAAAGGAGCATAAAGCTAATATASAGAAAGACAATTTCCAGTTAATTCTCTGCTTCTTTTTCATTCCATCATCACATAAAATTCTGATCCGATGCTTTAGCCCAAGGTGTAAATAGTTTGGGTTATACATAGCCAGGTTCTCTTCATTTCAGAGTTACATACTCAGATTGTGGTACCCTACCTGTTCTGATACCATCTGTGGACTTCCTACTTTAAAATCTGTCTTGTCCTTCAGATACAAATCCCTTCCTGTTGTCTTCATGTCTTTCCATATTTGTGAAGTATATGAACTTAAGTGGTGAATGCCTTTTTCTAGTGCTCATTTCAAGACAAACTGATCTGCACTCCTTGGTTTAAAATCTATAATGAAATGATCTTGGCACAGATTAGCTCTCCTTGATCAATAGAAATTACTGATTCATTCATTTTGTAATGAAAGGTGCAGCCACCTTGTTAAAAGAATAACAACACTTAACAGTTTCTTCTTGTAGKAACCCTGAGGCACTGGCTGGAATGTTTGCTGACTTTATAACAGCTTACAGTGACAGGCATTAAGAATTACAGATTCTTCTGTATTTCAGAGAAATGAGAAGAATAATTTCATTCTGGTTGGGAAAAATTTCATTCCTTCTCCATCAGCTGTTGTAGAAATACAACAGACAGATGGCAATTCTACCTCAGCTAACTGCAGTACTAGAACATAAATTCTTTGAATTTATTACTGTTGGTCACAACCCTTTATCTGCAGATCCCTTGTTTTCTAAAATAAAAACTGGAATCTCCAATTCCAATGCAGCACTAGTGAGATTCTCTGAATGAAAACTATAGATTTACAGCTCCACATAGAAATACAAAGTCAACAACAAAGCCGAATATGAAATAGTATCCGTGTGGACACTGCAATGTTTAATACCAGTACTCCTGCTCAGAAGAAATCACAGCATGCAGCAAAGACAAATTAGCCTGACTGATACACCAAAAGCATCTTTGTGTGATTTTAGTATAAAAAATAAGTTGTGCTAAATACTCCAATAACTAGAGAAGCATAAACGATGGTAAATACTGCAATAAGTAGAGAAGACACAAGTGTCATTAGGAGAGGCTGTGCTTTGATTGCGTTCAGGTTAATGCAGTATTTCAGTATCATTCCATAATGTTATCTAGGCTTCCAAAGCTATTAAGTTGTTAACTGTTACCGCTAATAACAACAAAAACCATAATAACACATTAATTATTTTGTGCAAATGATTCCACTTAATCAGGGCTCGGGACGGTCGCTAAATGGGAGAAATATTATGCCACTGAACTAGACTGCTTACTACAACGGCCCAGAGGCTCAAGAGATCGCTAGGAAGAGGTGGTAACCGTACCATCAGTTTATACCAAAATGTGGCAATCAGTTYCATCCAGTAGATTTATTACCTGGCTTTCTGAGTGCAAGCTTGTGTCCTTTATCTTAGGTTTGTAAAAATAGGTTTGTAAAAACCTTATGTGACAATTCTTACCACACAGTTATCTATATACATATATATATATATACACACACATTTATTTATTTATTTATTTATTTATTTATTCTTCCTAATAACAAGGTAGATCCAGTGAACCTCATTTTGGATACCTATCTAGGCATAATTTTAAAGAGGGCTAATTTTCAAATAAAGATCACTCTTAGAAAACCCAGGTAGGTACTCAAAGATATTAATTCCCTTAGAAAATTCTAGAGTTAAAGTTAAAATTTAAAACATATCTTCAAAATTAACGTTGGTGAGAGAGGATTTCTATTAAACTCTGCTGCATTCATGTACTGAATGTACATGATTCAAAAAGACAGTTCTTTCAATAAAACTTGTTCTTAAAGAAAACACAAATAGGCATGATTAGCAGTAGCAGAATGAAGTCCTAAAAATGTAGTATGAAACACAGGATTAAAATGCTATAAAACTTTATGACATATTCTTAGCGCTATATATCTAACAAATTCAAAAAGCACAGACCTTAAAAAGCTTATCACGTTGCAAATCCATTTAAATTTTCACTTTGACTTAATGCTTCTTTACATTGTTTTGTCAGAGGCACAAGTACAAATTTGCTAATCACGTGGCAGAGGGAGAGGACTGGATATGACAGGAAAACTCCTAGACTAGTGAGGTAGAAGGCTACCACCTTCTGTTAGATTGCCTATGCAGAGTCAATTATTCCGTGTCTGAAGAACAAATTCCTTTATCTTTCACCCAAAATGACTTTTTTTTTTTCCTCTAGGCCATCAGTATGACCAAATGATAAGYGGATAAATCTGACATTTCAAAAGCAATATATAATAATATATATAAAGACAGTGTACAAATTAAGAACTARTAGTAGGTAGGTCCTGTAGTTACAACAGGAAAAACATCTGAACTCTTTGTAGTTGCCATCTGAAGGCTTTGTTTACAACTGCCTTAATGCAAATCGCCTCATGTTGGCAAGAAAACAAAGCATCACAGAACCTTTCTTCTCTGAGTGCTAATCCACGAGCAGTATTTACGGGAACTTCACAGCACTGAGCCTTTCCTCTGTTGCTCCATAGCTGGATGACAACCGGTTAATTACATCTTAGGTGCAAATAAAAGCTTAGGGAGACCTGCTCAGTTTGAATACATATTTTTTTTTAGTGGATCAGAAGCATCTAAGGAACTTAGCTGCCTGCCACTAAAAATTTATCTTAAAGAAATCATTTTCTAATAGGAACTAACTCGACTTAATTGGATGAAATTTCCCATAGGGATGGTAAAAGGCTCCCAAAATGCCTAGTTTTASTTAACAAAGCAGAAAAGTGCTAGAACTTAGCTAAAACTGCTGTAGTGTGGTAACARCTCAGTGTATTTCTCAGTTACCTCATTCACACAGGGTTAAGCCATTTCTGTTAAMAGTTTAAAAAGAAATACAGTTTAACACGCCCAGTGTGCAATAGACGTTGAACAAAGAGTTGCAGTTTTGCATGCAGAATATATTCTTTCATAATACAGTTCTCAGTTCAGGTTTAATTTATGTGAGTACTGATGTGATACTGATTTTATAAGGCCAAAACAGTTTCCAAAGCATCTTTGGAAAACGGAAAGGAAGAAAACTTCTCTTTGGCAAAGTATTTCTGAAACACATCACAGTATCAGGAAGAAATAATACATTTATTTTAATTACTAGATATCAGAAGTCCCCTTTTCTTTCTGATTCCTCCTAAAATTGTACTACCACAAAATAACAACAACAAAAACTTGTTATAATTACATGGCCCTGTAGGGGCACCCTTTAATTTTTTTATAAGTTGTGCTTTACATAAAGCAATATATGTGTTTTTATAAAGCCATATTTTTATTGAGTTTTCAGCTGACAAAAATTTCCTGATTAAAA